TGCATTTTACAGTTGCATATTCTGCTGCCTATGTTTTCCTCACCTGTTTGTATATTCTTTCATAAATATGCATCTAAATAATGTCAAAATACTGCAGGGGGAAACAGGAGCATGCAAGGAAATAAAGAATTCTTTGGGGATCTCTAATATCGTTATATTGCATACACTTTCTAGAGGAACTAACATAGTTTACTGTTATATCCTGTAACTTGTCTGAAAGCAGGTAATGTTTTCTTTGGAAAGGACTGAATGTTAAAAAGGAAAAGAAGGAAGTTAAAAAAAAAGAGCTTAGGGAGTGAACAGCTGGTTTTGTTGATAGCTATCCTAGGTGAACAGAGCCTACTATAAAAACTTGAAGGAATAACAGGTTTAGAAGGATAGCACTTTCCCCAGCCCCTTCTACTTTTTAGATCTTTAAGAAATAAGAGCTTAAATGTATCTGACAGACTATGTTTGCTATATGCTAAGGCAATTGCAAGGCAAAAATAGCTTCAAGATGTTATGTAGCCCTTCTCCTTACTAGGGTTTCTTTTGTGCCATATTTGTAGGTACCTGCATACACACTAATGCACAACTTAACATGAAGGTCTGGGGATCCCCCACCTTGAAAGGTGTTTCTCCTTTTGTGTGGCCTTGTTTTGTATCTTCAGCTATAGAATCTAAAAAACCTTCTGTTAGTTTCAAATTAAAAATTGAAGGTGTCTTATTGTAAGCTTTTAAAAAGAAATATAATTTAAAAATTAACTCATCAAACTTCTAAATTATTTTGTAGCCTGTGTAATAGCAGGACTTGTTGCAATGTTATTGCTTTTTCTACTTTCTTATTTTTATGTATTTTGATCCGTACAAGGTCTGGTATGTATCAAGTTGAAACTTACTTGATATTAACCTTGTTCTTTTTCTTACTTTGTAAGGACACCTAATGATAAAAATGATTGCTCTGGTCTGCTTAAAAATAAATTGCAGTGTTCAGAAGTGAATCTGATCAGTTTATTACTTCAGGATCATATAATAGCTGAAATCCAAAAGTAAAGTTGTAAGGCTTGGCATCAATCTGATAAATTTAAGGTTTTTTAATGAATAAAAACAGCATAGAGCCTGAGTTAATGTGGAAAAGGTGTTTCTCTGAGGTATATAATACTAATGTCATTTACATCTCTTAATTTTGAACACAAGGCTACGTAAAGATCTGAGAGTTCTGCCCTTGTATGGAGTTTGAAAGAAGACTTGCAGAGGAAAAAGGAAGAATATACAGATTTGAAAGAGAAATTTTCTGATGCCAAGAAACAAATTCAGCAAGTACAAGAAGAGGTTGGTAATGTAGGCCAAATGTTTCTTCAAGTTTGTTTGTGGTTGTGTTATTAAAACCTGTTTTCACAAATTTCAAGCTATGAATGTTACGTGATTAATAATAAAGCTGTTTCAAGTGATGCGTTTAGCATAACAGTGAATCTCAAATTAAATTGCCATTAAAGTTGCAAGATAAAGATAATACCAGATGTCAAAACACAGATTAATACAGATACTGAAGGGGCGATGTAAATTTTGTTAATGTATTTGAAAAAGGTTTGTAAAAACTATGGCTAATCTGGTTATGGAGGAGTAAATTATAAACATAATCTTAATGACAACAGTAGCCTTATGTTATTTGCGCTGACTTCAAAGGCTGATGTTTCAGGGGGAAAACACTGATACCTGGAAGGGGGAGATGGATTATTCAGAAAAAGCAACTTTTAAAAATTTGAGTTACGTTTCCTGTTAAGGTGTGGAGAAGAAAAGAAAGCATGGAATTGCTTTAATGTTAATTGTTAGTATTTGCTTTTCAAGCAGCAGGATGTCTTAGAACCTCATGGGATGTTACAAGAACTTAAAATCCAAAAGACTGTTGAAGAGTTTGGTTTGAAAATTAAGACTTCAATGTCTTCCCCAGCAGCCTATAATTTGAGGACCTATTGCTACTCAACTTTCAGTGTATAATCCCTTGTTTGAGAAATAGCAAGGAAATGAATTTGTAGCTTGATTAGGTTATTTCCTGATAGGTCTTTTTTGTTTTGTTTCTTTTGTGTTTTGGTTTGTTGTTTTTTTTTAACCCCCTGCCCCTGAAAATGTAGCTGTTTGCAGACATTTAACTCTTAATTAAAATAATTAGTTATTTAGTAACTTACAAAGGTTGTAAGAGGCTTATACAAAATGCTAGCTTTCCTTGATGTCTTTGTGCATTGTTACAGGTGGGTACAATGCAATCTGAGGAGAAATCACTGAGGAGCAAGGTTAATGAACTTCAGAAAATTAAAAACCAGCTTAGTGAAGAATTAGAGATCAAACAGTGCACAATTCTGCAACTTAAAAAGGTTGGGGGTTTGGATTTTTATTTTTTTTTCTGCTCTTAGTTGTGGTTTTTTTTTGATGAATCCTTAAATGGGGCAAGCAGAAGGAGAAAGCTTACAGAAACTGGAGTAAAGATAAGAGTTTGAAACTAATTTTAATAGGTGGATAAAAGATGTTTAAAGAATTTCTCACGGCATGCCACTGTCAAATTGTTTTTATATAATCTGCCTAATTAATACTCATTTAATACCTGCAGATATTCTCATTAGTTGACACATAGATATGTTAGTAGTAATGTTTTCCTCTAAACTTTTTTGGGTTTTAGTCAACTTGAATGCTCCTTAACACCACATAAAAAATTTATGCTGGACTGTTTTCTTAAATGCTTTAGGAGCAGTTGAATAACGAGAAGCTGGAAGAAATCTCCAAAGAGTATGAGAAAACATGTAAAGGTCAGAAAAAGACAGTTTTATTGCTTCCCACCTTTGTGGAATGGCAACATAATGAGTTGTCATATTGTTAATGAACTTGAGACAGTTTTATATATTTATATTTAAAAAAAACCTGGGAACTTCAAACAGGGCATTAAAATTATACAGTCAAGAACAAAATTTTATTAAGGCATTGTTTGCAGGTATATTTGAAAGCAGTCAGTCTCAGATTAAGAAATATGAGCTCAGAGAAAGTGTGAATTTGCTGATATCAGTGTCAGGTTATTAAATGTTGGTATTTGTTAGTCATTTTAACAAATTGGAACACTGAAACACTAACTAGCACAGTAACAGTTTCTGCAGGCTTGACAAACATCCAGCAGTTGAACAATTATTAGTTTCCTATATAATACAAGACACAGACTGATGTTAAACTGAAATGTTTGCCTAAATCAAGTTCTTGGAGTCGCTTAAGAATTTTGGATTCAGATAGTTCAGTAGAGTTGCACTGTTTCTAATAGAGCTTTTGATCTTGGGCAGTGAGGAGGGAGAGGGCTTGTCCTGGTTTTCTGCTGGGATAGAATTGTCTTCCTAGTAGCTGGTACAGTGCTGTGTTTTGGCTTTAGTATAAGATTAATGTTGAAAACAACAAAACATTGGTGTGTTAAGCAGTGGTTTCTCATGGATCAGTTAGTGATGAGGAGCACAAGAACTTGGGAGGGAGCACAGCCAGGACAGCTGACCTGAACTACGTTAAAACATGATAGGGCTCATTTGTAAATATTTTACAAATCTGCAGATCTGTGTGCAAAGGAAAAAATAATTGAAGATATGCGAATGACATTAGGAGAACAAGAACAGACTCAGATTAAACAAGAAGAAGTGATGGAAGCCAAACTAGAAGAGATCAACAGATTAGTTTTGGGTAATCTATGGAAAGGGAGCAGGGAGGCAAAATTATATTGGATCTATTGTGATTAGATGCTTTAAATTTATGGTTTTATTTGTTGACTGCTATTTAGGCATTAATTTTATGTAATACATAAGAAACTTCTAAGAGTTCAAGGCTTTGTTGTCCTTTTGCAGTCACAGCTGATAAATTCAAGGAACTTTAGAATAAGGATGTGAATGTGCTCAAATATGCATTTAAACTACATATTATATAACCTAATTTTGTGTACTGACTAGAACTGGAACTATGGAAGCAGAAATTTAGAGAGCTGAATAACCAGAGCGATAGTGACTGGCAGCAAAAGATGAGCAAAAAATGAGGAGAAAAACAGAAGTGAAAATGAGGAAATAATGAAGCTGCAAAACGAGCTGAAGGTAAAATATGGTGATGTAATTCATACTTAGTTTTAAAGCCCTAACTTTCATTTAGAAATTTTTTTTTTTTTCTGTGTCACTGTCTTCAAGAGCTAGGGCATCATATGGCAAGTTGTTGCACTAGTAAAGGAAACCTCCTCTAGAAGCTGTTTTGCACCAGTACAGCAGTTTGGATGTGTATCTTTGTAATATATGGCATCACTGTAGCCCTGTAATGAACTGCACTCGTCCTTATATTATGCCACCGCAGATGTCTTTCTACAGCTAGGCTTCTCTTACAGTTGTCTTAGCTAATCTAACTCATGATAGCTATTCCAAACCTCTTTCCTGTCAGTTGCTTTGGCAACTAAATCAGACTTTCAAGATCTTGCACTTGCTGTATGACCTGTAACCCCTTCTTGTTAGGCTGAGGATTTAAATTTAATTCTCATTGGATTCGAGAGATTTCCCCTCTCTCCCCACAAGTGGCTATTCGGGTGCCTTCTGTTTTATGTGGGTGAATGTCTGACAAGAGCTTTGATTGTGATAGGAAAGGAGGCAAAGTTGCTGTGGATTGAAGTGACATTCTTTGGTATGCTTGATCTCTGTCTACCATTCAAACTGTACTGTACTCTTTGCCTTCTAGTCTTGAAGTAGAAGTAAGTTTTCTAACATGTCCTGCAAGGCAGTGTAAAAGATTGGGAATCTGTAAGTCAAGAGTCTGTTTACTTCTGGTGTAACTTTTATACTGTGCTCACTCCGCACGTTTTTAGACGAGAAAAAAAAGTTTCCATAAAGATGTGTCAGACTGAATAAAACTTGCTGAAAATTGTTTATTTTTTTTCTCCCAATACGGAAGAACATATGAGAATGTAGTACTTGCACTTGGGAATATGCTGGAGTAAAACTGTGTTAGGATTTTTATCTTTTTGAAAGAAATCCATTTAATGGTAATCTGGATTTTGAGATTTTTATTTTGTCTTAATCTCTACCTATGGTTTTGTTTCTGGTTTAATTAAAATAGGAAAATGAGGCAAAGTATCAAAGTGATAGAAAGAAGTGGCTGGAGGAGAAAATGACACTCATACATCAAGTAAAAGAAGCTGAGATCCTTCGCAACAGGGAAATGAGAAAATTTGAGGAGGAAAGAGAGCACCACGTAAAGAAAGAAGCAGAAATTGTAAGTGACCGGAGGTCTTAGTATATTGAATCCTCTAGTGTCTTTAGCACAGAGCAAATCTCATGTGAAGTGTTAACAGTGTGGATGCTTGAGGGTAGTTGACCTTTGTCAAAATCCCCTCACTTTATCACATGGTGAAGCCTAGATGAGACCATCTTGTTAAGAAAAGGGAAGAATAGGAGGGTCACAAAATGAAAAATCTTAATAGGTAATGGAAGTTAACATGCCTGTTCCTTTCTATCCTATCATCATCTCACTGAATTCTTCAAACATTATTTTGTGTGTAAAACACCTGTCAGTAACCTACACTTACATGAATTGCTGCTTATTTGAAGCTAAGAAAACATACTTTGAAAAATAGGATTGTTTGTTTGGCTTTTTCCTAAAAGCAGAGGTTAACAAAAAATCTTCTTTTGAGATTTAGAGTAAAAATACTTAGTTAAAATGCTAGTGGTTTTGTTCCTGTATCAGTTTCAACTGAGAGTTAATAGCAAGGTAAATGCCTTACCTGTTCACCAGGCTGCATTATGGTTGTATTTCTTGAGTATCTAAAATTATGAAATGAATCTGACCAATCTAAAACTGTATTTGCATCCAGATATAGTTGGCAATGACTTTCTGGACCTGCAATCAGTACAGGAGGGTATTAGGAGCTTAAGATTACTTTAACGTTATCTGTGACTTTGCTTGCCTGAGACTTGCTCGCTCTGATTTTATTACTAACAAAGAGTATAAATATAGATGCAGATTTTCTAGTTGAAGCATAGTTTGCTTTTGTATTCTTTTTTGTGAAAACAGCTCTATGCGAGCTTTGTAGGATCAATATAGGCTTTCAAGTTTACTCAGGCCATAAAATAGTAATGCTATGTGAAACCAAACTATCAGAACAGTTCAGATAGTGCGTAGAACTGGTGTTCAATTCTAATTTTTGTTTTTTCCCCTATTTAGGAAAGTCTTGCTGCTGCACAGCTGGCAGAAAAGGACAACAGTCTTCAAAAGTGGCGTGAAGAAAGAGAGACATTAGTAGAAGCTTTGGAAATACAGCTCAAGACCTTGGTTTCTAACACCACACAAAAAGATAAGGAAATAGCAGAACTGAAACAGGCTGCACTAAAGGATTTGGGAAAGGTTCTCTCTCTCTTGTTCTTGTGGGATTTTTTTTTCTTTTTTACTTTGTTATGCATTAATTCTACAAAACACAATACTTTTTGTGGTTTGGCTCAATTTTTTTTCTTCTTACTGTCATATTGAAGCCATTAGCAGCTCCTTAAAAATAGAAGCTTTATGTTTGAAATTGAATTTGTTCTCTCTCTCTTGTTCTTGTGGGATTTTTTTTTTCTTTTTTACTTTGTTATGCATTAATTCTACAAAACACAATACTTTTTGTGGTTTGGCTCAGTTTTTTTTCTTCTTACTGTCATATTGAAGCCATTAGCAGCTCCTTAAAAATAGAAGCTTTATGTTTGAAATTGAATTTGTAACAGTAACCAAAGTTTCAGAACATTTAGTAGTTTATTTAAAGTCTCTTTGATCCTTTGATTGCAAAGTTGAACTGGAGATCTGAAACAGTTATCATAGCTGCTGCTTTTTTTCACAGCCCCAGGGACTTAATGAGGAAATGGGAGGTGAACTATTTATAACTTCACATAAGTAGAGTAAAACAAAAATTTACGTTACATCTTCCCTGGGTGTTACATGACTTCCCTTCACTTTAAATAGTGACCACTCATACATGAAATTGTTGGCTTTTTGTTGGATAGCTGACTGGTTTAGCTTGGAGTTCTAAAACTGATGCTTCCAAGTAACGATGCTTGTGCGTATATTTTCTTTTGCCAGCCCTGCAATTTGTGGCATGTTTTGCTATGTTTTTAGGGTAAGGAAACTGATATAGAAGAACTAAGGAAACAGCTGGCTGAGAAAGATGAATTTATAAAGGAACTGAAACAGCAGGTTAACCATAAAAGTCTTTCGGCTACGGCAGAAGTACCTTTACCTGGAGAAGGATAATCTGAAATAGATCAGACTGTAAACAAAGAGGTATGGTTTGCTATGGAAAGTATGTACTAATTATAAGGTTTTAATAACTTTTGTTGTTTTCTCAATACGTGTTTCAGCAACACTGGGAATCTGACAGAATTTATTGCTCATAGTCCTTCATACTTTATCTTCATTTCTGAGTTCTTGTTCATTCTTTCCATCTCCCACTTTTGCTATCAGAAATAGGGTACTTACATTAATAGAATACCCTCTCTCGATATGTTTATAGAACTTGCATACCTGAGGGGAAAACTAGTTAACTAACCCAGGTTCTAGAGTTGAAGACATTGTAGTGCCATTCCAGTTTGATTGTGTTCAGGGAATTTCAGCTCAAAACTTTTGTGATATTGCCTATACTGTGGTAATAGAGATGTTTCTGTAATAGGAGCTTCCAACCTATATGGGGGTTCAGAAGAGCAAAACAGTATCTTGCATCCCACACAGAAAACCAAGACATCTAGTTTACGCAAAAACAAATATTAAACTTTGCTTATTTCCGGAAGGAAAAATTGAAAGGCTTGCAACTATACTGAGACTTCCAATTCTGACTGAACTCTTGCGTGTTAACTTGAACAGTATTTAATGATATAGTTCTCCTGCTAAACTGAATTAATGCTGTGTGGCTCTATTGCTAAGTAATAGTGAACAGGGCTGAAAGTGGATTTCCTAGCAATCCCCTCCTCTGGCTGCGGCCAGGATATGCACTTCCCTCTTGCTACAGAACTGGAATGAATGCAAAATGCGTCTCTTCATCTCTTTCCTGTCTACTGCCAGATAAGACTGTCTGGCTAGTTTCTTGCTAGTTCATCAGTTCAGCTAGTGCCATATAGATAAAGCTTGTGATGAATGAGGGAGGACAGAGTAGCTCTCAGAAGGGTTAGTGCTTTACACAGCTTTGCAATAACAGGTAAGAGAGCACCATAAATATTTATTTTTTTTTTTTTTTTGCTATTAAAGTAGTTATTGAAGAATTATTGTGGACATTTGGTGCCGACATATTTACCTCAAGGAAGAAGAGACAATATTTGTTCCTATGGGTAAGTGGAGGTGTCTAGGATTATGATGTAAGAAACTTCTGTTGATGTTGAAGTGTATGGGGTAACGTTTTGGGGGGGAGAAGTCAAATAATTCCTGGGAAACACATTGTGACAATAAAGAAAAACTAAAGCATTCAAGGGGATAGCTAAGCAATGCTAGTTAGGCAACCCACTGGAGAAGGATATGTATTATAGCATTTAAGTCATAGCTATTTTAAAGCTTATTTTCTTAAAATATTCCTATGCTTGCAGGGCCATTCTGAAATTGCGCTTGACTCGTCTGAAATGTCTACAGAAAATGGAAAAACTAGTCAGTTCCCAAAACCAGAGATGAAAATCCAGTTCACACCTTTGCAACCCAGTAAGATGGAGGTGAAGGACCAGGGCAGCCCCATACCAATTACAGTTAAAATGCTCAAGCCAAGAAAGAAAAGAAAAAGTAAAGAGATGGATGAGGTATGCCCTAGACCAACTGACATTACGTTGTGCAGCTTTTCTCTAAGTACTCTGATAATTTGTTAAAATCCTATCCTCCTGATTCTCACTGAGACCCAAAAGATATATGTAGGGTGTATTTAAGCTTCTTCAAACATCATCCTGTCCTTCCCCCTGCCTGCCAAGTGAACAAATCTCTGGCCTGTGATGAGTAAGGTGATAGACTTTAGTTTGTCCACACTCTGGCCCCTTGTCTCTGATTTGCACTTTCTCTTCACCTTTTACATTTCTCTCTCCCTACAAGCACCATTTGCTTCTGCCCCCAGCTGTGATATATGTGGGATTGCAGACCATAAGACAACACTGTGGTGGTACTTTAATCGTACTTGTGGGGCTTATGAATCTCTATGCTTTTAAGGACTTTTGAAGCTGACTGGTAAGTATGGGATTGTGGATGATTTGTCTAGGTAGTAAGTGGTGTTTTAGCGAGTGAACTTGTCTCATCTGAAGAGTGAAGTGTCTGATGCTTTTCTAGCATTTCTCACTCAATCATTCCCAAGTGATGTTTTTTAATATCTAAATAAAATAGTTAAGATAAATAATCACTTTAGTGATTACTGTGCAACAGGGCTTCAATAAATTCATTTTGTTAAACCTGTTAAAAGCTGTGTAAGTTAGTTCATCTGGAATACAACACTTAATTCTGGAAGCATGTCCAGAGCTGATTTACATAACAAATATAATTTGTTATGCTAAATGGATTATAAATGATTCAGCAACTTTAACTGTCAAGGACCATCTCATAAAAGGTACTCTTTCTTTGATATAGTCTGTAAGGTGCAGGGGGCATCTTGGCTTGGTAAGGCAAGGCGAGCAGACAAGGACCATCTCATAAAAGGTATTCTTTCCTTTGATATAGTCTGTAAGGTGCAGGGGGCATCTTGGCTTGGTAAGGCGAGCAGACAAGGACCATCTCATAAAAGGTATTCTTTCCTTTGATATAGTCTGTAAGGTGCAGGGGGCATCTCGGCTTGGTAAGGCAAGGCGAGCAGACAAGGACCATCTCATAAAAGGTATTCTTTCCTTTGATATAGTCTGTAAGGTGCAGGGGGCATCTCGGCTTGGTAAGGTAAGCAGACAAGGACCATCTCATAAAAGGTCCTCTTTCCTTTGATATAGTCTGTAAGGTGCAGGGGGCATCTCGACTTGGTAAGGCAAGGCGAGCAGACAAGGACCATCTCATAAAAGGTATTCCTTCCTTTTATATACTCTGTAAGGTGCAGGGGGCATCTCGGCTTTGTAAATTGGCTTGGTAAGCTGGCCTGGTAAGCGTACGCATGGTTTGGAAGCCTTCCTTAAATTGAGATAGGAAATCTCATAGGTAAAGGTGTGTACCTGTCTGCTAGCATACGTTTGGTATGCACCCACAAGGAGCAGGGGACTTCTTGTGGTTTGGGTCCTGCAAGATGCAGGGGGTGTCTTGCAGAAAAGGTTTTGGATTTTACTGGTATACACCCAAAGGAAGCAGGCGATTTCCTGTGGTTTGGGTCCTGCAAGATGCAGGGGGTGTCTTGTGGAAATGGTTTTGGATCTTGTTGTTATTTGATTTATTTTGTGGCTTCTTACGTTAAGGATTTTGGTCTTGTGATTTTGCTGTCAGTGACAGACTGTTATAACTAAACAGGGGGCATCTTGTGATTTCAGTCCTACAAGACACAGAGGGTGTCTTGTGGAAATGCTTTTGGGTCCAGTGTGCTATCAACAGCCCATAAGGGATTTGATTCAGTGATGCTGTCAGCGTGGGTCCCTGAATAGGTTAGTAGAATCACCCTCCGATACAGCGGGCTGTCCAGTATGGTTCCCACAGTGGGACGCAGACAGGCTGGCCAGACACAAGGGTCTCGTCCTTCTTGGGACACTGACAGGCTGGTCAACTATAGAGGGTTCAAGGAAACTCCCCTATTAATGTTACGATATGGTCTGAGCCATAGGGGTTAGGAAGTATTGCTTTTGATTCTACTGGTATTCGTCTTATTTTGTGGCTTGTTACAGTAATGATTTTGGTCTTGTGATGTTGGTACTGGTGACAGGATGTTATAACTGTGTCATTAACTGTTGTTTGTTTGGTTGAATTTAAGTCTCTGTCTCAAGTAACTGTGTGGAGTATGTCTCGGGGATCCCATTTGTGTGTGTGTGAATGTGAGATTGATAATGGAAAATCAGCAGAGTGAAGAGATCTTGAAAAAGAATCCTTTTGGGTGCATTTTGGCACACTGGAAAGTACTGGGCACACTGGAGGGTCTCCTGGGGGCACGGTAAATAAGAAAATATTGGTAAAATATTGTAACTGATGGTGGCCTTTGTATACTTTGGAAGATCAGGAAAAATGGCCTAAAAATGGAACTCTGAATTATAATACCTTGTTACAATTAATGTTGTTTTAAGGGGGCAAGGAAAATGGGATGAAGTAATGTATGCAGGTATGTTTTTCACTTTAAAAATCACACGGAGTGACAGACTGAATGCAAAATTAATACAGCTCTACCAGATTCCTTAATTGTGGCTTTGGAAAAGGACAGGGAAAAACTGTAAGTTAAGCTGGAGATGCTCAGCCTGTGACATTGGGGAAAGATGTTTAAAGTTAAAAAACAGTCATCAGGAACACAAGGTGGAAAATCACGTACCACAGGTACCTCCGCGAGGAGCACCCTCTGCATCTGCCTTATCTGATATTGATAAGGAGGAAGAGATTGCTGTCAATGGCAACCAGCGGCACATCCACATTCAGAGTTAAGAAGGGGTTAAACCAGAAGCGCTGTTGCAGAGGCAGGCACCTGCAGCCCTGCAGAGCAGGGGGAGCCGCTGTGAGAAGGAAAAAAGGGAAAACCAAGGGGGAAAGGGGGGGAGCTCGAGCAGCTCCAGTGTTTGAGCGTGGGAGGAGGGATGTCGGGAGGAGGTAGGGAGTGGGCTCTTCTCTTCTGTGGGACCGGACCGGTGTGGGTGCTATGGGGGGTTTGGATGCTGGACACTGAACTGGAGATAAACTGACGGGGACCTGGGGAATCTACCCTAGCAGACCCACCGGTTACATTAAAACTAGGGACTAGAGGAAATAAAGTGGAATTTTAGTGGATACAGGAGCAACTTATTTGGTGTTAAATCAGAGGGAAAAGAATTCGTTAGAGATGTGGGAGCTACTGGCCACCAAGAAAAAAAAAAAGAAAAGAAAAAAAAGAGAGGCATTCTTTCTGAAACCGTTTAAATACAAATTGGGAAGGCAAATAGGAATGCATAAATTTTTATGCATGCCAAATTCTCTAAAATCTTTATTAGGGTGAGAAGCACCATTTAAAGAAGGCAAAATGGAATTTAGAGTTAAAAACAATCAATTAATTGCAGTTTTGAGTTTATCTTTAATTCAACAGAAAAGCAAAAAGGAGGACCTCCC